ATTTTATTCGACAATCACCTTGACTGAAACAAAGAATGTCCTCTTTAATTTTGACACATAAAATAAACTCAATTTCAATAAAAATGATAAATTAGTCGAAAGAAGTGGTTATTTCAGGTCGTTACTTTTTATTTTCATTCCAAACAAAATTTCTCCAAGTATGATCTTGATTAATCAGTTTATTTTAAATCCATCCAGCCGCTCGACTAAAGCAAACAAAATCAAACAAAAGATTCACGATTGATCGGAATTTCCTTTATCGCTTTTATTTTTAAATCATTTCATTTCAAATCAAACTTTTCTTTGTCTGGCTGCGTTGTCAGCGTGCTAAATGAATTCGTAAGAAGATGAATTTGACATTTTTTTTTGATCCAAGCCATAGTCTAGGAAGAAACTTCTTGCTGTGTAATGAAAAATTTATTACTCCGTGACGCTTTCACTTGGGAAACTACAAGATGAAAATCGTTTGCCCGCCGTACACCGTCGAAAGAGCTTTTGAAAAGACATTACGCTTCCGCTGCAATATGTTGTTCCTCTGATATGCAAAGTGGAACTCTTTAGCTGGCCATACAGAACGTTTCTGTGATCGAAATACATATAAGCACGCGACCGATTCTGTGTCATTAGGTGTTTCCTCCTCTTCATGGGGAATTTCTCCTGTTAGGTTCTTGCACACGTTGTAGTAAACGCGTAAAATCCAATGAATGCTAATAACTAGATTCCGTATATTTATACGAATGCATATTTCCAAGAAAATAATTAGAAAAATGGTACCTGGATAGGAAATTAGTTTACTTATTAAATGTTATAATGGATATTTTTATATACATACTTACAGTGGTGTACAAAACAAATTTTAAATAATACGAAGAGACAGCATAATTTTAGAAAATAAGATTGTGATTGACAGATGAAAAAGGGCAAGCAGCAGATATAATGCTCCAAAATAAACAACTTGTTACCAACATAGTTTTCTTTTGTTTGTCATTGCAAGTGCAATAGAACATGCTTTACTAGTCAAAATATTTCATTTCCTAAAAAATAGAAACTTTGTAAGTAATACGAAGAAACAGCATAATTTTAGAAAATAAGATTGTGATTGACAGATGAGAAAGGGCAAGCAGCAGATATAATGCTCCAAAATAAACAACTTGTTATCAACATAGTTTTCTTTTGTTTGTCATTGCAAGTGCAATAGAACATGCTTTGCTAGTCAAAATATCTCATTTCCTAAAAAATAGAATCTTTGTAAAAAAAAACTCAAACTTTCAGCAATCAGATAATTTTATTGCACGGAACATTTAATGTTCGAGTTACTTCGCGCTATGTGCTATCTTTAACGGTACCGTAGAATCCTGTTCGACTTATTGGAAAGCATCGTTAATAATTCCTTTGTGTAATATCGTCACCTTCGTCTATCAATCTATTTAGAATTGTGTCTAAAAAATCGTACACTGACGCAGCTATGTTCGCCATGTTTAATTTACGGGAAAATCATTTCGATAATAACGTAGCACCACTCGATGAGGATACTCGTGTAGACAACCATCTTTCATTAGTTATAAAAGGGTTAGGTAGATCGAAAGCCGAGCGAACAATTACGATAATGGTATTTTTCCTCGCGTCGTCCTAAGCGGTGACACAAACGAACCAACGCTTGTGATAACAAGGCGTCATCATCGTCGCGTTCCGCCATTGTTCGTATTTATAGCGGACCCGATAAGTCCGATGATATATCGATGCAAATCGATTCGCAAGCAATATATGTACGTTGACTGAGAAACGAAGGAAAACGAAAGGGAAGCCGTGTGACGATTGCTGGTGACATTTTTATCGCTCTACAAGAGAGTGTTATCGGTCGTCTCTTTCATTCTCTTCCGATACCCTTACGCTTTTTTATTGATTGCAAGTTGGTACTTTATTCTCTTCTTTATACCTCTCTAATTAATTTTGTATTCGTCTATTTTTATTCTTTATGATACGAATGGTAATAAGTATAGGAAAGATAAGAAGTTTCGTTTAGATCGGTTGTCATATTACCCTACCAATTTTTACTCCTTTCCGATTGCTTCTAATTTTTCGTGAACAAGATTCGTCACGATTACTTTGACATTCCGTTCATTCCAAATTCAAGAACGAAGCATCGAACATCACGAATCGAAGCATTGCACTTCTCTTCATTGGTAGATTCCTCATCCTGGAACATAAAGGATACAAGGACCTAAATCGTGAATATTAGTTCTAATTGCTGATTCGAAAAGGAAACAGATAATCATCTTGCATTTCCTTCGTTTCCATCTCTTCTCCACTTGACTTATACTTGTTCCTTTTTCTATTCAATTTATTCCTTCTTTTCTCCATTACACATTGCTATTTCTCACCTCTCTCTCTCTCTCTCTCTCTCTCTCTCTCTTTTGCTTTTACTATCCGTTCTCCTTTCACTGCCATACTTTTTTTTTCATCTTCCCTACTCCTTTCCACCTTCTTCTCCACTCTTTTTCTCTTTCCCTTTTTTCTCTTTTTTTCTGCTATATCCCCCAGCAATCTTCTCTTCTCACGCTGCCGTTCCGTTCACAGTTTCCCCTCTCCAAATCATTATTATACGTAGCAACGATCTTTATACATACTTAATAATCTTCTCGTCTCCTCTTACACCCCGTGCACAATTTCTCTGCAAATAATTATTGTACATATTAGCCTATAGTCGATCGAGAAAATGTCACACGTTGGCCGTGGATAATCGGAAAAACGAGCAATCCACGAACCTAACCGCGATGAGAATTCCCTCTTTTTTTTCCCCTCCACACCGCGAGTTTTTGCACCCTCGGAGATAAATGTCGCACGATCACGGTGTCGTCGGCCAGGACGAAAATTAATTTCTTCTCGATAGAATCTTAACGACGATGGGACCCCCGCGGTACGCAACTTACGTATGAGCCGTTTTATCGGCATTTTACAATCGGTTCCAGTGTTTGCCTGGAATTTTTCGAGATAGAGAAAGAGAGGTTAACCGGGGCTGTTTGCACGATTTATCGAGACGATCATCGTTAGACGACCGCTCGAGGTCTCCTCCGAACGAGTTTTTCCTCTTATCGATAGCCCGATCCGCATAAAAGATCGTTCTTAAAACCAGGCTGATAATGGTTCTCGAGCAAATATTTAAGTTTCCTGGAATTTTCTTCTGCACGGTTCACCAGCGGAACTTGGCGGGCGTTCGCGCTTAATAGCCATCCTCTGTTTGCTCGGAACATCGTGCGCACTGAATTACGCTCTGATATCCGCTCGGACATATTTAAAAACAGGTATTTAAAAAGCAGTTAGAGTGGTACACTATGAATATTTAGAGGCAACCGTATTCAACGTGTAACGCGATGTCGCGCCGCTTGAAATTTATTCTTTGCTCGCAATCTTTATAGCTCGTGGACTGAGTTATAAGCGATATTCGATTTTCACTCTTTTACTCGCCTTTTCTCTTTATAGGAATTTTTATTATTGATATTCTAGTTGAGACATACACCGACAGTAGGAAGACGAAAGATAACAGAACTTACCAACCGACTTACAGCACACAAAATAGAATACAATTGAAACGTTGTTGCGTGTTATCCACTGTCCACGACACAATCTCACGTATCAAATTTGCTGCTTGGCTCTAGGCAGCCAGCTGTAAATATGTCGTAAAATAGGAAAAAAAAAGAGATATTCTAGTTAATATCTTTGTAGGATGGTAGCGTTGAATCGGTGAACTAATAAACTCTGTTTTCTAGTAGTTCATCGGGTTTCTTTTGTAAAATGTATTGTATTCAAAAATTCTTTTCTTTTTTTAATTTGCAAGAACAGTTTAAAGGTTTGAAAGGTTGAATCGCCTGAAAGAAAAAGAAGCGCAATGGAGGACACTTTTCTCGACGTTGACGTAAACAGATTGCTCCAACTGTCGGCGACAAACAGATCGCCACGATTTATAGGTTGATTCAGGTGCGCTCAGCTTCACCTTGACTCATTATTCCAAATCGCGTTCGACTTCTTTCCTCGCTCATTAATCGAATTTGCAACCTGCTTCACGATTATTTGTCACGATGAGTAACTGTAAACGCGTGAGATACTTTGTTGCCAGAAATACGATGTTTGCAGTTTATGTTCAAATGCTTTTACGCATAACATAGTATAAATAAAAAATCGTTAGGTTTAGCAAATTTCATCTGACAGAGGATTTATTAATCCTGTGGCATAATTTGCGTCGTTTTAGCCTCGATCGTGCCTCCGTTGCTATTTATCGCGCAACAGCGAACTATTATCAACTATTCCACACGATGTAACTATAAACCAAAATTTTCCTTAAAACATTTTAACCCCTTGTAGCGTGACTCGACATCAGCTTCTATCTCAGGAGCTCCTTTGTCGCTCGAAAGATTCTTGGAAATTGTTTCAAGATATATCATGCGCTTAAAAATTACAAAATACAACAATAGTGCGAATAAAACTGGTATTTAAGGGAATTTCTGTCTTCCTTTATTTATTTGAATTGTTACTTTTTAGTTAGAGTAAAAGCGTTGGGAGCTGCTGGTAACGAAATTGAAATAAAATTCCGAGTGCAAAGGGTTAAAGATCCTCTTGCTCGTTGAAGCAACACGTAGAACAAGTAATAAAAATTCGAGTATCATAGCAAGGTTGAAAAAGAACAAATATAAATGTCGAAGCTGAACTATCGCGAATTATAAGCACAGAGAAAATTTGTGATTTATTCAATTCCTTTGTCTATGAACATATATACTAAAATATACTAAAGAACTAATATACTAAAGAACAAATATACTAAAGAAACTAGGTAACATCGTCAGAAATGATAAATAATCGTTTAAAGAACAACGTGAAAGTGTCACGAGACAGAGGAGACAGCAAGCTCGTAATTGACTAACTGTAAAAAGAAAATGAGTAAAAATAGCGAGTTTCAAAGTTTCTCAAATTTCTAAGGTGAAACCATCGGTAAATCGCTGTTGCAGGTGAGAAGCCGCATAAATGCGTGGTGTGTGGCAAGGCGTTCTCCCAGAGCAGCAATCTGATCACGCACATGCGCAAGCACACGGGCTACAAACCGTTCCAGTGTGGTCTCTGCGACAAGGCGTTCCAGAGGAAGGTGGATCTGCGACGTCATCGAGAAGGACAGCATCCAGCCGCCCCGGCGCTCGATTATCGCTCGCTCCAACTACCCTCGCAGCCCGCCAACGTCAAACACTCTCCTCCTCTACAACCTGCCCCCGGTTATCACATGATACCTGTCCCCGGTAATAGTTGAGATTCTTTCACGATCTTGTCACGAACACCGTCTGCCTGTCATTTCCTTCTTCTTGCTCTTTGTCCCCGCGTGAATGCCGAAGAGGCACAGTTGAAGAGAGAGAAGTACTATACATAGCAAAATGAGAGACAAGGAAGAGATGGATATGCGGATGCAAATTGGAAGATAATGGATGGATAGGATGATACAATATGTGTGTAGGGTGTTGAGAGGTTTGTTGAAGATAACAAGATAAGAAAAAGAGCATGTGTTATTAGTATCAAATAGATATGAAATCTATTCTCGTTTCGGTAATTGCGGTAGATTTGAAGTTCAAGTATTCTTTAGGGATGTTGCTGTAGCTACATTTGGTAAAGCTACACTTTGTTCAGATCTTAACAATCCTCGGAGAAATTCCTTAAAGAAGAGAAATTCCAATCGAAAGAAATATTATAACGTTCGAAATCGACTCCAAAAATGAACTACTCTTAATTACAATTGCTACGTGACGAATGAAAGAATCATATTTTAACAAATTTCGTAACTTCCAGTACAACCAACGATCGTACGTTGTACAGAAGAGAACTATCGTTTTTCCAAACGACTCGAATCACATGTTTCCACGTCTTTGGAACGTTACATTCTTTCTCAACACCCTCTGTTCACGCTCGTATACAAAACACGGAAATATTACACGGAAAGATCGGAAGAACAAACGAGGAAGAATGCTTGTTTATACGATGCACGGTAGTTCGATCGAGATTCAAAGCGGACAAAAATACGACCATCGTGATCGAAGAATCACGCATTCCACGAACAATCGCTTATACTTCGAACGCAACAAATTTGCATTTTCTATCGTCAAAGGAAGATTCGAACTGCGTAACGAACGTATTAGATATAGGCAGACACCTGTTCCAAGTGGCTGGTCCTGTTAATAACCGGTACTTGTATACCTGCGAGCTGTTCAACAATGAAAAAACGCCTTAGGGGAGGCACGCTTTTGCATATTTCTCGAGCTAAACTAGCGGTCCTCGGCGAGTGTTACGAGATCGACCACTGTTTTGAGGTAGGGAACCTTCAGCCGTCCATTATTGCTGTACTTTCGGTATGTAACGTACATGTATATATATAAATATACATCTTATATAGATATATATTGACAAAAATTATATGTTATATATACATATGTGTGTATAATTATATATATATATAATTATATATATGTATATATATACACGCATTGAAGCAAGCAGATACGTGTGTATACATATGTACACGTATATACTTGCGTGTAACGTACAAAGATACGTATTTAGGAAAAATTAAAGAAATTATAGAAGACTATGGAATTCTTTAGTTTAAAAAAAAAAGAAAAAAGAGTATTGATTTTCGATATTACGTATGAAATTCAGCGGCGTATTTCGCGAAAAAGAAAAGACGCTATCGTGTGTTTGCATGTGTGTACACATATATCGGCGCGTATAAATCCGTATAATATTATATCCGAGCCAGCGTTACCAATTGCACGTGCAGGGTTTTCAAATACTTAGTTGTATGCTCATTTACATTTAGAAGCGATTTTGCTAATCACTTAATCGCTCGAGTGGCAATGTGTCGAGCGAAGTATAATTCCGTAGATCTTGGTATTTCATATAAAAATATAAAAACCATCTGTTAGTGTTGTAAGAAAAAATGTATAAACAATCTTGTAACATATCTGATCTTTAGAAAAGCTCGCTTTTCCTTTAGAGATTATTAAAATGAATATAAAATGAATTCGTTCGACGATCAAATCTGTGGGACGAAAAATAATTGAATTTGAATCTCGTAAAACTTTTTATGCTATCGTCATCTCTAAAAGAGACGACGATAACGAAGATACAGTATAAAGTGTAGCTAATTGTAATTAAATTGCCACTCGAGAGATTGGAAAGTAAGAAGTTCTTTCGAAGTGTGTTTTTATATAATAATTAAATATCGATCGAGTATCGATTAAATGTACAGTCGTGCCGCAATAATCACCATGCTGCCCGGTATTTTTCATATTTTTTACTATTTCTACCTCCTGCAATCAGACTCACGAGTGGACAGAAGGTCTATTTCAAAGGAACGTGTCTTATTTAAATTAGTCGTTTTTATTAATAACGCTATTTCATCGTACTTTTTAGTTTAGGAATTTTTGATCGCAAATACGAAGATGAATTATTATAAAAAAATAAGCGAATTTTTCTTAATAAAGCAATGCAATTGCTTGGCAATTATTCGCGTGATATTTTTAAATATGTACGAAATTTATATCTAGAATTGTAAAAAATGTGTATGGATAATGTTAATTTTATGTTTAGGTAGAAGTCTTATTTTTTATTAGCTTGTAAAATTCTTTTTTCGAAATATATAGAGATTATAAAAAGAATTGTATTTTCCAAAGCCAAAGAAATGTTTATTCATCTTGTGCAATTAATATTAGTTTTATTTAGATTCTCATAGAGAAATTAAATGACAAAATCTCATGTGCTTTTTATTTGCGATAAAAATTTCTGCTTAAGTACCGAAACTCCACCGGTACCATCGAAAGCAAAAAACAGATTTTTGCCCGAGGAAATGAACAAAAAGACGCGCACTTTTAATCTCGCGTTAAATTCGATCTAGTTGAAAGAAAAATCCCATAAATCGGAAACTTGTATCCTTTTATCGGCAATTTCTCGAGCTTGGAACCATTCGTTAAAGAAATTATTAGTTAAGCGCTGTTCTTCGATACGTTCCGCCCTTCAAATTGTACTAATTGCACAAAAGTAATTGCGAAAAGAAAAAATTCGGGGACGATGTATTGTAAATAATTTTATGTTCTCGTCGAATTAGGAGAGAAACGAGGCAGAAAAGGAAAAAAAAGGACTAAACGATTTCACTAGAAATTCGATGTCTGGCAAAGAATCATAGCGGCTAGAGGACCAAAGATATATTATAAGTCGGACCTAGTCGAATGGTATTGTTCGGGTCGAGATGAAAATTCAGTGAAAATGTAAAAAATCGCCACGCCCGAAAATTCACCAAAGACTTTGGTCCTTTTTTGCGTACGTACGAATTGTATTATATCTACTATTAAGATTAATCGATCGTCCAATTGAGAGCGAGATATCACCGTAAGAAGCTGATATTTTTTCAATGTCTCTAATTACAATCGTCGAAATAATTGTTAAACCGTGCGATCGCGTCTTATGGTTATGACCGTAATTATCGAATTTTAATACGTCGACGAACAAAGAGTCGTATTCGATCGAATAATCGATCTTAACCCTGGAACTATTGTAATTAATTCGTTTTCACGACCACGTGGATCTTTGAGATCTGCCTTCTTGGGAAATATCATAGCCACCGATTTTCCACGATTTTTCAACGAAGTGATCGTAACAATTCTGTAAATTTCTTTGCAACGTTCGATTATGACAAAACGATGATCCAAGGGTTAACGATTAGTGAAATTTAGATAAGGATGAAAGACCGATAGATCGATAAGTAGATTTAATCGTATGAGAGCGTGAGAGGCGTGCGATTGTCGAGCGTATTCGCGAGGGACTTGTATTAATCGGTAAAACCAAAAAATATGTTCATAATTGGTATAAAAATGGTATCAATTGAATAAATTGTTTTTCTTACAAAATACATTTATATACATTTTTCTACTTTGCGATATAGAAAGACGACTTTCGTTTGATTAGAAATCAACGTTATGATCGCTACGTAATAAAATATTAGAACGTAGCAACCTGCGTGAATTTGCACGAATAAGAATCGTCGATATTTAACAAGCGAATAGCATAATTCTCTGCCTTGTCAATTGTAATTATTCCACGGTATAATTTACGAAATTACCATAAATGACGATCAACATAATCAAACCGTGACATTACTGTACCGATCTTCCTATACCTCTTCGACGAAGAAATAGCAGAGAGGAAAAGTGACTGATCGTAAATCTATCAGAATTTCTGAAATTGTCATAAGTAGATATCAACACAATGAAACTGCGATATTTCCACGCTAATTGTTATTTCACAGTTTTTAAAAACCGAAAACTCCCGATTGTCAATGAAAAGTTGACTCATCGTCGATGAATAAGTAACTGAGCAAGTGAAAAGTTGGAAATGCTTTTAAACCTACTCTATCTTGAAGGTAATTAAAACGAGGAATAAAATTTATCGCGCGAAGCACGTTTCCTAAATGAAAAATGACCGCATAAATAAATAATCGCGTTTTATTTGGAAGAGTCGCAGCTAACACTTCTTCACGAGAGGTCCTCGAAAGGTATCATCAATAATTTCTTCCATTCTCGCTGCCTGGTCACGTGAGGCGAATAATCGTGTAAGAGTGTAGGTTCCATAGCGTTTCGCTTATCTTTGTTATAACAGTTAACGTAGTTCACTGCGACACGTCGCAATATAAATAACGAGTCGGTAAACAATAGCGTTTTTCTACAGCCATTCGCGTCACGCTATGCGGATGACGAGCTTCATGCTTCTACGATACAATTACAATTCGCGTTGTTTCATAATCTTAATATTTTTGTTAGGTGATCCCGTAACTTGTGGTCTGTAAATATATAACGTGGTTTTTATACGAAATTTTTTTATAACAAAGGCCAAACGGAATAGCGTAAAAGGGAATGAGAAGGTAAGTAAGAAAGGGGAGACGAGCAAAGTAAAATAAAATTAGAGAAAGAGATGGCGTAAAGTTCGTCGAATAACACGGTGGTAAAGATAATTATAAAAGTAAGACAATCAGGATTCGATAAATAAAATGTAAAGGATTATAGCGTATCACTTGCTATAATAGAATCCTTGTTATAGTCATGACTCTAACGTTTCATTAAGAAGAAGAAAAGGCGTCCATTAAAGAAGAAGAAGGAGTCACGTTAAAAAAAGAAAATTCCTTTTTGTCGAAGTAACTACTTCAAGAAAAACTCTACATATTTATTTATGTATATCCGTGACCTGTGAAACAAAGGTCTGTGAAAGCAAACTAGTGAAACAAAAATATTCTAAACAAGCAGAAGTGTATATTATTGCGCCCTTATTATTATGTTTTGGATTACAAAGTCTAGGAACAAAGCAACTAATAAATAGATTTCTATTTATGTTTCTTGTAGCTTTTAGCTAAAGCTACAAGGTTAACTTTTTTTGGTAATGTCCTTTTGCTATAAATATATGAACTTGCCCCTATCTATTCTATCGTATAGTAACACTAAGAGAGTAAGGATCTGGATCAGCATAATCTTATACATTATATTTATACCTTTATTTATTTCAATATATTTTCTATTATATTACAAATTCATCCACTCGTTCTTCTATCGGTCAACAACGACAGGTTGAAATGGACACCGTGAACAATAATACAACGAAGAGAAACTGTGTCGATCTACGAACGAATACACACAGAAAAAATGCACGCATTACGAATAAGCGTTTCTCGAATGGAATAATTTTCGTTCGTGTTATTTCGTATAAGTTGAGTAACGTTAAAATTATATTTTCGAAAACACAACACGAAAATAACATATTTTCAAGTATCTCGTGTGGAACTAACCTCGTATGGATCTAACCTCAAAATAGGTTTGAAATAGAACGATTGAAAGACGATGGCTCGAAATTGAAACGTTTCTGGTGGAAACTTTAGAAGCCTGCGAGCGAAGCAGGTGAGAAAAAGGTAGGTAAAAAAAGAAACACGAAGCCAGGATCGACGATGTAATAGATTATCGACGATTATCCTTCGCCTCAGGGGCGTATTATCAACGGCGGATGCTTCCTTGCAAGGATATGCGATGAAAGCGCGATAGAAAAAAAGATAAATTACCCCAGATATCGTGTTCTTCCTTTATCTTAGCCGACGTTGGTCCACAGATTCTTGTCAGAACGTTTTATCGATCTGACACGGCAAACAATCGCCTACCAAAACGTTTCAATAAAATCTGCAAATCGAACGAGCGATCTTTTGAACTATAAATGGACCGAAGAGTAAGAACTTGACGCGTTAACGAATTTTCATATCTTTCAGCCGCTGTGTACAGTTCAGAAAGTAATTGTCAGCTCGACTGGAAAATTTCTAGCGATCGACGTCTCGCAAGTTATCATTTGGCACAAAATTCGACTTCAAAATCGTGGGACCAGAAACGGCCGAGAAATCACCTCGCTTTTGCCTCGCTATTTATTCCAACTAAATTTTCGCATAAAACACAATGGACAAGTAATTGAAATACGTCAATGTACGCGAGGAATTGGGAGGAAAAGTTTACGCGATACGCTTACGAACAAGTGATCCTTAATTGTTGAGTGTATGTTGATCCAGATCCTCGCTCTTACAATGTTATAATACAATAGAAGAAGCTATTGATAGGGAGCACGTTCGTGTATTTCTAGCAAAGGACATTAGCAAGAAGTTAGCCTTGGTGCGTAGCTCTAGCTGAAGGCTACAAGAAACAGCAATAGAAATCTACTTATAGCTCTTTTGTTTCCAGACCTTGTAACCCAATACATAATTCATATTTAAGGGCATAATAATATGCACCTCTCTTTATTTTGAATTGTTTTCGCCACATTCTATTCTCTTCGAAACAGGTCATGGATATACAAAAGAGAAGGTATAGAGTTATTCTTGAGGTAATTATCTCAACATTAATATTTAGAAAATTTGTGTTTTTCTTCGTATCGGTTATTAATTAACTATTACTCGAAATTACGATTAATTGTAATTAATTAGAGAAGTTTCGGAATTCAATAAAGCGTACAGAGTTTAGAAAGAGCCATAAAACGTTCTTCCTATAGTTTCTACTACTGTTTTCCATTCTCGCACATATGTTAAAACAAGTGCAACCGTAAAAATCAGTTCTGCCTGTGAATTCCATTCTATTCTCCGTTCGTTTCTGCTGCGTTCGCCTAAGCAACAGGAGCATCCAGTCCAGTGCTACAGATTGCTTCCGTTGCAATGAACGTACGCGAAATTAAATATTCATACGCTTGGAATTTCGCTACGACTGGCTAACAAGATTTACGACTCGACATGGTCATGTTCGGCCGAACTATGCGTATCGCGCCACTAAATTAACGACCAGAAGTTTCTTTATCATCGTAGACGTATTAACATAAAGGGTCACGTGTTCGTTTCGTACGCACGAGCAAGTTGCGAGAATACGCGGCTACGCTTTTCCAATTATTTTCCTGTTCGTCGATCCACGTCACGACCCACGTCAGCTGCAATCTCTCGACTTGCTTGCGAATCTACGCTTGTACGTAGAACGAACGAGCGAAGAAAAGCTTGTCAAATACCGTCGAATATTTTTCTCTGCTATAGTCTATAACGTTTGTTTCTATACAAGCTTTTATTCTATATCTTCGATTTATTTTCTTCGCGTAGGATCATTTTCTATCCAGTTGTACTACGATCGTCTCCACGCAATATAAATACGTTCAATGGTACTGTGGCGGATCGGTATCAACGCGGCGCAACACATGCCGGGCGATCCGCGAGTACCAACCGCCACCACCAGAGGGCTACGACGACAACGAGTCTGCCTATCTCGCTAGCGGTCGAATATACAGGCACATGATATAAATACCGCATCTAGCGAGACTCCCTCTACGTGTAAGGCAGGAACTACCGGGCATAGTCTTACTGACGAGTCCACCGGTAGTCCCGGGACGAAAAGCAAACTCCTCTTTTCACCACCTAGCTCCGACTACACCTCCGTCATAGTACGATATAAATTTCCTAGATGTTTGTGAAGAAATAATGACTTGCTATTCGAGTGAAATATCGTATAAGTTCCGTGTGATACGATTGTTTACAATTGTTTAACTTGTCGCTGCTGGTAGTAGCCAGCAATCAACCTTCAAAGGTAGCTGCAACATTAAATAAAATAATTTAGAAAAGAGAGAAATAATTATTACCACGTTACGTACCTGGTTGACGTTTAATCGAATAAATCCGCCGATATAAATTAATAGAAGCAACAAAATATGAAATAATCTAGATCCAGGCAGGAAAAGTAGCCCTGGGCTGGTCAACTGCGAAGTCAACTGTAGTCATCTAGCGAGAAGCACGACTTTTCGCTGAAAATCGAGAAACGTTAACAGGAACGTAGAACGTTGCAAGCAGGTACTAGCGACTGTTAGTGCGACAAAGAGCGCCGTATTGTGCGACAAGGACAGATATACTTCTCTCTCCAATCCTACGGAACGTTCATCGACCACAGCCTTTTCTGCGAAAGATTTAGACGATTTTGGGACCGTGGAACAAAGACTGGACATCGCACAAATTTCCTTAGACGGTTTTCATTGTGAATTTCTGTTCAATCGATGGGTAATTAACGATTATTGCATCGAGTATCGAGACTAAGGCGATTATATGATGATGCTCTGTTAATGCTGAACGTCTGCAAGAATAATTTCATTCAAATGTAATAATACAGGTTTCATCAGGCTGTATGCTTTTAATTACATTCGAAAAAGTCATGAATTTTAATTAATATAACGTAAATTGTACGTGAGTTCGTTGCACAGATTCTCGTTCAGTACATTTGCATAGGGAAGTTCGTAAATTATTCCTCTTAATTCGCCTCTTTTCTTTTTACTTTTGTAATTCACTTGTTTACCCGATTTATAAACCTTGAAACACTATCGCCACGTAGCTGCAAAAAGGTGCAACTAATTTCCATATCTGTCCATTGTAGCACAATGGTGCGTTCCTTGTCTACCGGACTGCTGCTATCTATCGGATCCGGCTGAAACTTCGAGAAAGTAACAGGAACATAGAATGTGCGAGGAGGTATCTCAACTTCTGTTAGACAAAGAGCGCACTACTGTGCGACAAGGACAGACATGCGTGACGTCACAGACAAGGACGGCTATATTGTGCGACAAGGACAGACATACGTCTCTTTCTAATTCGTTGAATTTTCATCAATTGCTCCGTTTCTGGGACAAATTCCCGTACTTTTGGAATCGTAGAATATAGAGGGGATCCCTGACAATATTCTGGCATCGCTTTTGACCGGAATTTGTGCCTAATTACTCAGTTTTTAACAATTATCCACGGACGTCCCCTCGTCACCCAGGGGCGACGCCGTGAATTTTCGCATAATTTTCGCCACGCGTAATCAATTTACGAACTTTTACGCACGAAGAACTTAGCGTAGGATCTAAGGAAGCTTCCACAATTCCTTAGAGAGCGAATCAATGCCGCAAAATGTTGATATTTATGGAAAATCGCAGATTCGTGTCGTGATAGCCGCGACACTTGCTACGATAATTGTTCATAACTAATTAATTAAAGGGAAATTCCGGTCGAAATTGGTGTGTGAATCTTGCCAGAGACTCTACCTTTGTCGTGCGATTCTGAAAGTTCATGAATTTTACCAAAGAAAAGTGTAATTGACGAATAATCGTGAAATTAGAGGGAGAAGTACGTCTGTCCTTGTCGCACAATATGGCTGTCTTTGTCTGTGACGTCACGTGTGTCGGTCCTTCTCGCACAGTAGTGCGCTCTTTGTCTAACAGAAATTGAGATACCTCCTCGCACATTCTATACTCCTGTTACTTTCTCGCAGTTCCAGCCGGATTCGATAGATGGCAACATAGAACGTAAGAACAAAGAACGTAAATAAAGCACCACTGTGCGACAATGCACAGATATGGAAATTAGTTGCACCTTTTTGCAGCTACGTGGCGATAGTGTTTCGAGATCTATAAATCGATCAAATTTTTATTTCGAAAAAGGGTAATTAATAGAATTAATTTGTGGATTTGTGTACTGCGCATCCCTCTAATTGGGGTCTCAACTTTCTTCTTAATGTAAGAAAAGGGCCCAATATTGTATGAAAAGGACAAATACGACTCTCGTTTCATAGAATGTATAGATAGGTATAGTTTACGATTAGTTTACTATTAATTCATGCGTTTGAATAACATTCATGTGTTTTCACTACAGATCGACGAAAATAACCTAATATTTATGAATGAAAGTGTACATATCACAACCAGGTTATGTAGAGAAATATGTTTAAGCGATCGATACCTGTATCGTTTAATGACAATTAATTAATCGATTCAGATAATCTTCATTAAGACATCGATAAGGTATGGAAATATCTCTCTGGATGTTCTTGTAAAAAGAAATAGCTAATCGATCCATGTAGAATAATATTCTCGTTTGATTTATGTTTACATTATTTAATAACACCTAATTTTAATTGATTTAGATAAGCTTTGGTAAGATTTCGATAAGCTATGTCTTTCTCTGGACTTTGTTGTGAAAGGAAATATTTAATTGACTCGTATAAAGGAATTAAGTTAATTTAAATATACTTTGTGTCATAACAATTAATTAATTAATCGATATAAGCTCTATTAAGTCTTCAATAAGGTATGGTGATATTCCAATCGATTTAAATCTATTTTATTCAGTATTACACTTGACTAATCGATCTAAAGAAGCTTCATTGATACTTCAATAAGGCATGGAACTATTTCTTCAGATGTTCTCGTGAAAAGAAATACTTAATCACGCCATGTAAAGGCATAAGACCCATAGAAGCATAAAGGCACGATGAACCGAGAGCGTGGAGTAGAAGTCGGAGATTAACGACGCGAAGGAAAAGCCGTGTTTCCAAATGACTGCGTTGCAACGGGGATTTACTACATTTGCTGCATCTATAATTATAGGTAATAAAGTCAGAGACGTGGAAACCAGAGCAGCATCGGACTGTTGCACGAAAATGTTCGTTATCGAGGCGGCTGCAAAAATTGCTTCCAGAAACTCGTGGCTGCGCCTCTTTCCGAGTATAAACCTACCGATTTCTCGCACCATTTTAATACCAACGCTTCCTAATAGGAGAGCTCGCGTTATTATCGAAAGTCAAACTTTCTCGAGCGTCTTTACTTGTTTCGTTGAATAGAAACTACGTAACAGGGAATTCTTAATTGAATTAAAAATTAAAATTTCCCGCGTCATCAATTAGCGTAAAATGAAAGTCTGTGGCTCTTCCATCTGATCCTGATTATTGCTTCTTCTTATCTTTGCTAAATATAGTTTATGCTCGTGCAAACTAATGCAATTAGCTTCGCTCTTTGAATGACTCGCTTCTTGAGGATGACATATAAATAATAACAACTTCTAGGGTGAACTGAAGAAATGGTGTTCGTGAAAAATCAGAATTTAATTGTATTGTTTATAAAATTCTTCTGACAATACGGAATATATGGATTATTTATAAGCCACGGTTTCGAACGAGATAACAATCAAAAGATAATAATCTATTGGTTATAACCACTATTAGTATAGCCATTGTTAGACATAAATATCCAACGATCTGCTTTCCAAATTTATCTCGCTGTCACGAAGATCTCAACGGAGGAATAAAAATTATTGTAAAATACGAAAATAGAGGAGAATTCAAAACATCAAAATTTCCGATTATATCCATTCATTGGTCTCCAATGGCATAGCTCATGATTATTCGAGCGGTGCTAGAAAATGTCACGAACATATGGGGAACGATTATTTAGAAGGAACGACACAATGAAAGAAGTCAGCTTATTTTTTATTCACCATCCCCACAGGGACAATTCTCTGTCGATATTTATCGAGCATGTTTCTTACGACGTAGAAAAAGTCACGATTAAAATTATTGTTCTTAGAAAAGGAATTCCCTGACGGGGAAGCAGATAAATGTTTTTGCAAGGGTCTCCACGGGAACCCGCGCGACCGTGTAAAATTTTTATTTTAATCGTTTGTTTGTAGATAATTCCAACATCGAAGAACACCGTCATCGCGTGGCTTTTATTTATTAATTATTTATTAATAATTCCACCGGGAGCATCTTGTCTAATTGACGCGATAATTATTCATACCGGTTGAATTGTGTGAAATTATGAAATTATGCGAAACATGATCATTTTTACGCAATTATTAAGAACTTTTTATTCGTAATAGTTTGACAAAGTACGATGTATATAGGATGATTTGTTAAACGTTTTGAACTCTAGTACATATGATCTTTGTTTTTCTTTCTTTTAAACGGTTTCCCAATTTTGAGACGAATCTTCATTTAATATATAGTTAATTACAGCTTTTTCATATTATTTTTTTCGCAGGTAGAAAATTTCTTAACAGAAAAATTGAGTTGGACTAAAGATGGACCAAGATTTCGTATTATTATTTAATTTAAAAATATCCAAGAGCAAAAAATATAGAAAGGTAATATATTATATTCAATATTAATCTCATGTCATCTTTTTCTTTTATCATAATTGTTTCCTCTGAGGTCAATCCATCCGCAAGGGTTTGTGATGAAAGCGTGTCGCGCTCGTGCAAACGATTAATTCTATTCCCAGTGGTATGAAACTTGCGGTGAGCTCCATTATTACAGCAAACATAGTATTTTCCACGGTGGAAAATCCCTTAGGAGGTATTTTTCACGGAACTATGTAGGTACCAGAAACATTAATAATTCAGAGAAAGCCATCGTCGACTGCAACATTTTTAACTAGGCTTTTAAAACGCTACTTGTATCTCAATATTTTTCACGTTCATATTTTTCTATAAAAATTTGATAAAATTTGTCTCAGAAATTATATTATTCTATCCTTACAGATAATTCAATAAATTCAATAATTAGATCTATTTAAATTGCATCGAGACTGCGAATAGAAATCTTGTATGCAAATTACTATGAGTAGGTGGTCTTCTCATTTCGTATTCGATAATTCGAAGAATGACAAACAAATCATTAGTGAAATATTCGATATCGTCAGACTAGCGATGTTTCAGTGAATCGACCAAATTTCACTTTTCAGAGAGCCTTAATTTCCATAAAAGGAAATTCTGAAGCTTGACATCGATTTCAAGGTGCATTTCTCAAAGATGGGGCTTCGGAAACCCTTGAATATACCTGTCTAATGAAATGTAACAGAAATCTACACAATATTAGGGTGAAAATCATGAGGTTAACGTGGTTGTTTTGTTATGCTAATATAACGTGGCTTGACATCGTGTTTCAATTGATTTTTCTTCGCGGGTAACGTACAATAGTATAAATAGTCTCTCCAATGTGGAATTATCTTCTATTTCCTTGAATTTCGAATAAGGAGATTTATAAAATTTACTCAGATCTTTAAGATGCTGAAGTCACTTAAAGGAATTCGTTGCGATACCGTAATGGAGATAATTATTAAAACAGAATTGTAATGGACACAAAGCATGGGTGTAAAAATTAAAGAGACGTGAAAAACAATTCTCTAAAATGTTTTGAAAAGAGCACACAGAGTATTTTTTTATCCTCGTTTAATTTACAATCTATTACAAAATAAAAATAAACAATGTCAAACAGTATTGGTACACTTACAACAAACGAACGAAATGTACAGAGATAAAATGAAATGACGTAGAATAACTCCATTCGACACTGCAGACATTCGACAAAAATTCACTGGCATCGTTTGGATAATTAAATATCTTAAATATTTTTTTCTTTGTCTAAGCACATAAGGTGAAGTTCGAGCACCAATGAGGGGAACATTTTTTCCATTTCTCGTAAGTATCATGCAGAGATCTTTTATCCTCTCTTTCATTCCCATCAGATATCATGCTGACATTTAATGAAATACAGCATTTTTATGTAACTTTTACAATTTTCTTGAAATAGGCGTGGTCAGAAATCTTCAACCAAGTCGTGATTATGAGTGGATTTCACTAAAGAAATAAAAAATACTCAGTATAACAGTTTGCAGTAGAAGAAAAATTATATAACAATGTAATATAATACTTTCTTGACACAGAACAATCAAAATTATAGGATGGTTTGAATCGTTTGTTTGATTACTCTTTACAGAAAGAAAGAACTTTTTAATTGGAAATTAAAATTATACATATCTTTACTCAAATTCTCCTTATTTAAAATGTAACAAACACTATTTAACCAAAATTAACAAACAAGAATAATGAAAGAGTGAGCTAATTTTCAAGCGATTATATTTTGATGTACAAACCATTTTTAGTAATTCTCTATCGATATTTTGGAAAACCATTGTTTACATTTATATTAATTATTTACAGACTGAGGATATTATCGAATAATAAGATCAATATCAGGCAATGATTATTTCGATTTGTATCCACTGCATGCCATCCTGTGCAACGTAGCAAATTGGAAAAGCACTTTACTAGAAAATTCGTGGAAAGCATCGAGCTAGGATTGAAAATCAATGCGCTGGTTTATTGCTCACTCCAATTTCGATGCGTCTTCTTCGAGGAATCCAATGATCTTTGTAATAACCACGGAGTCTGTTCTCGCGAAATTCGTGGTTTTCCCTGTCATGACCATACTAGGACTATGCTCGAACTTATCTTGGTACCATAACCGAGGTTTATGCGCCTCCGTTACCTCGCCAGCTCCCGCATTCGTGATACTTGCTCGCTGACTGCGCTTCATAACAGAGACGATGCGTTTTACTATTATTGGTTCTATTTTTTGCTTTTCCTCTCTTCTTTTTTAAACTATCAAGTTCCAAGAACAACTAAAAAATAGTCTCGTTATCGTTAACATATCAATATTCGTTACAGCAATACTTATGTACAATTTGATCTCGATGTAATCTGTATGTGGATATTTTTTGGAAATTTAGACAGTTTCTAAAATCGTTGGAACCATATATAGAGTAGATAGAGAAAGATGAGAAAATGAATACAGCGTTTTTCAACTTTTACCTAAAATATTGAAATATGTAAGCGTACTTTGTATTCTTTGTATATGTATATGTATGTATATGTATATCGATTTAGAAGAGTTACAAATAATATTAATTCCTCTAGGATCCGAATAACAAATTTATTTACAAGCTATCAAACTGCTTGAAGCAATCTCTGATGACTGTGATTTAGTTAACACAAAGTAAATAAATAAATTAAAATACGCTTTAAAAATGGAAATAATATTTGCTGCTTTGTTGAATATGTTCTCAATAAAACGAACAAATGAGATTCGTCGTTCACTAAACAAAAAAGTGTAGTCTTACATTATATGTTTCTCACGAAGGAATTTCTCAGCAGTGTATCAATAGCTATCCCATAGACACGTTAATGCGAGAAACACTTAAATCGAATGCTCTACCGAGAAGCTGATTACTTTACGAGGAACTTTTCATGGAATACACACGCATTTACAATTTCCTTATAGCTAAAACGGCTAACTAGTTGATATTTCTTTTTACCAATAATCGAATATTCATCTCGGGGAAAGCGAATACGAAATCTTAATTATAAATAATCATTCCAAGATAGATGTCCAATCGCGACGGTGACATTTTACATTCGTTAAGTTACATTTTAACCACAGGAGTGCCATTTGTTGCATTAACGTCTCATTAACCGGTGAAAGTTCGCCGCTACACATTTTTTTCGTCTTTCCGAAAGCGATGCCACCTGCTGTGTCGTCCCTAGGACCAGTGACTTCATTATTCTAAGGTTTCTTTTTCTTATAAAATCATTTCCCTTTCCCGACTTCTCATTGTAGATCGTTTCATACGCTTTAAGAATCACAAAGTGATATTTAGTAATATTTTAGTTGGTAATTAACTTAGTGATACTATAGTAAACAATATACAAAATTTCTTTTCACTATTTTGTGTTTTGAAGAAACCTTCTAAAACTAAATTATTCAATAATACAAACGTTTACTTTAATCTTTCTTTTCCATGATATTAAACGAGTACCACGTGTCAATTATTTATAATTCTTTAAGAGAAATAATAGTAATTAATCTAAATAGATGAAATTTTTTAATCTCCTTAAGAAAGTTAACATTATATACATATAGCATATGTCTCAAATCGATAAAATTTCTAATCTCATTTCATATGCATTCTTTTTATTTTGTAAATATAGATCATCTTATATATTCCCAACATATTGAAGCTATTACAGTTTTCGATTTTCAGTCGCTCGAATTTCTTTCAAAATTCTTGTAGACCCTTTTCAGGGGTACGAGAAAGATTGTTTTGTGTCTGGCGGAGGGTTCACTTTCACGGCTATTCAACGTATAATGTCCGTTTTGGTTCGTCGAAAATTCTTAAATGCGCATAAATTGCCAGAACATAGAAGCACAATGGTATCATTAGGGTATCGTTGACTTTTATTCCGTTAATTTATTCTGACAAGCGTGAACGTTCCATGTGGCTGCTGTTTAGAGTTTAGATCCTGAATAGTCTCGTTTACGTTAAGTTATACCTCCTAGAACCATACAACATTTGATTATTGTTTACCACGTGATAAATCACCGTATATTACGAGTATTTTGTATTGTCATACGTTTTAGAGATTTTGAGGTAGATCCTTTGGTTTAATTTACTTTGTATTTTCTTATACGTATGCCTTTTAAATTTTCCTTTCTTTACTCGTTAATAAAATACAATCGAAGTATTAAGATAAGAGAATTATTTAACATAGACTACAAAGTTCCTTGATCCTTATAAAAAAAATTTCTGAAATGTTACTATCTAGGATCTAATAACAAATTATTAAATTATGATGATTACATATTGTGTGATAAATTAACTATAGATCCTAATAAAAAAAAATGTCTAAAATGTTACTAGGCTCTAATAACAAATTATTAAATTATGATGATTACATACTGTGTGATTGATTAACTGTAAATAGGTATAAAATCTTTGTTTCTGAAACCGCTTCGAAGTAAAATGATTATAATATATGTACGTTAAATATTAATTTCATAGTTTTTATGTGTTACTGACTACATATACCTATATATAAATACATATTATGCTAGGTATAAAACACTAAGTATGAAATCTGTATCAGAAGCAATGTTCGTGTTCATCGCGATTTGCGTTAGCCTAATAGCACGCAATCGTTATAGAACAGAGGTATCGTGAACTAAATTCGCGTTTCCTCGTATCTTTTTGATTTTTAATCAAATGTATCATAACATCAAGAGCCGCACCGTTATTTACCCTGCCTAGTACACTATTTTTGCGTGATGCTTTCTGGTACCAAACCAAACAAATGAGAATTTACGCCAAGTAAAAAGTTTCGAAATCAGAGTGTTCATATGTAAAATTAATAGTAAGAAAAATATTTTACCTATCCTGAAATCAATCTTCATTTTTCCAATATTATGGAAGTCAGTCAAACTTCGCTGTTGTTTCAATTCTTGTATGATGTGCAACTTTATGATAACAGCAAGATGAGGAAGGAGAAAAATATTTTTAAATTGAAAAAACACACCATTGTACAAAAATATATTTCAATTTTGTTATTTTAATATTTACAGAAGTTCAAATGAATATTGTACACGAAATTAACTATATATATATATATAGTTGGTTGGTTTTATATATATATATGTATATATATATATACTTTTTACTTAAAACTCTATACTCAGATTTCCCATTAAAGACGATAAATCATACATATTTGTGTCACTTAATAACTTCCGCATAGATATCTGTTCGTTTAAAGTTGTTACAGAATTTTTAAATATATGTTTCCATTCAATATCGTCAATTTCATTTAAAGAACATATTACAACTTCATTTACTTCATCTTGAACAGAATAGCATGCCATAGACTGAAAAACAGACTTTAGGTCGCTCTTCACTTTCTGTTTGATATTTCCATCTCGACTAACTAAATTTAAGATAAAAAATCCATCATTCATTAAACATTCTGCAACTGATTTTATAATAGGCATCTCTAGAAACTGTTTAGGTGGACAACTCATTCCAACTGTATTATCTTTACTGTCTACATCAAAAAGTATAGCTTTGTATCTTTTGCCATTCGATGTACTATCTTTGATAATTTGAATACCATCCGCAATTTCAACCTTCATTCTATTGTCAAGAATGAGACCAAAATAGTCAGTGGCGACTTTTAACATCTTCTCATCGATTTCAACTGCTGTAATTCGTAACTGCAGAATTACAAATATATATATTATTAAATATTTGTAACATGTGATTAAAAAAAATTAAATTCAAACATGTAGTATACATATACCTTAGGAAAACAATTATATAAAAATGTACACAATCCACCTCCACCTAAACCTATGATCATTATCTCGTCACATTCTTTAGAATTTATTGCAGCACTAACACCAATGCTCATATATACATGATGATCACACGCTAAAAATCCTGAATCGACAACTTTTTTCATTTTACCTCGTCTAGATTTAGCTAAAAAGAATTATTTATAAATTAAAAACATTGTGTGGTAAGATGATTCTGATGAAACAATAAGAAGTAAAATTGTATACCTTGTTTAAGACGAGCTTCACTCTGAACAACATATGGATTATTTAGAAAAATTAATCTCCTAAATTCACTACCATCTCTTTCAATTTCTTCAACAACGAAAGGACCACTCAAATTGCTCTTTCCTTCAAAACATATTGTTCTGACCCCAACATCTGAACCCAGTGATAAAAATGGAATATCATTTTTTCCAGACAAGCCTTCTGGTGCTAGATTCAAAATACAATCTTCGATTTCACTTTTTACAGCTTCCCAATTTTCAAATTTGTGTTCCCTGCATAGTGTGACAATAGCAAGTCTATCACGCTGGGAGCTCTTAAGAACCTGTTGTCTACCTTCTTTTGTACTAAATAGCCAATCTGTTTCCCTAACAGAACAAAAAATTTAAGCTTTGTCTCAATTTCATCTTTGGAATCATTAAATATGTACTTATACTAGACATAAACTCACTTTCCTTGTGGTACTATAAAAGCTGCATAGCTTTTTGTACCATGTACCTTGGGCTGATCTAAAACGTAGATTGTATAACGTGGATGTTTGTTATCAGGAGAATGTAAATTTAGTGAGATTTCTCCAATATCAGCCACACTACGCTTTTGAAGACTATTAAATATAAATGCAGATTGTTGTGCTGAAAGTATAGCTGATATCATTTCATCCACTGATGATAATCGTCTTGGTGCACCATCAACTAGTACTACTTCTAGAACCTATTGTAATTATACAACATTTATTTTAGAAAGAAATTGTTAAAATGGGCATCAGTGAAATATTGTCAATTACATTATAAGAATCTGATAATTTAAATATAAATTTAATATTATTAAAAATAGGCAGTTTACTTTTTAATAATAACATAAAACTTACAGTCTGTGACAAATTTGTAATCTTTGTTGCAATTACTGCAAAAACTGGGATTGAACTTCCATCTTCAAGGCGTGTTTTTTCTTCTGCTTCATGACAACGTACTATACGAAACATGAACCCAACATTTGGAAAATAAGATAAAAGTTGCCTTAAAATATATTCCTGTAATAATGAGATGCATATGTATCTGCCGCCATTGCGTAGAATTCTTGTAATTTCCTAAAAATTGTTATATAGTAAGATATATTATTACTTTACTAAGACATATTAAAAAGTATAGTGCATATATACACTGTAAATAAAACATGATGTAAACGTGATTTACTCATTACTTAATATATATGGTGTACCTTAAAATATTTGTTAACATTAGATACTGTCCCTTCTTTAGTATCTGGCATAAGAGCATCTAAAGTACCTTTATCCAAAACAACGCTAAATGTATTATCAGCATATGCCATTTGTGTAGCATCCATGTGTTCATAAACTAATTGTGGTCTCATAGTTGCATTAATATCACGCATTTGTTTGATAACAATATGTGATATATCAATATTAGTAATATTTCTGCAATTAAGAATAAAATTAAAAATAATATTACTAAAGATTAACCAACATTACCTCTTATAAAAAAAAGCAGTTGTACAAAAAATGACAATCTTAAACAAAATGATTTTGCTTTAAATTTATAATATAAGGTCAACATGATTAAAGATCTCATACCTGTACCCAGCATCATACAAACACATGCTAACAGTAGAATTGCCGCAACCGACAATTAAAATATTGTCTTTCACCTTAATGTACTTTAAAAATATAACACATAATTCTGGATATTCTCCATACCTAAATAAAAAGGAAGAATCATATATATGTAAAGCAAATGTGTGTTTAATACTAAATTGTGAACATGCCATTAATAAGTAAGACATACCATTCAAAGTTTCTTTTACCACGTTTCTTGAAAAACGTGTTCCAATATTCAACTTGGCTAAATTCTTCGTGCGTTTTTGGTAATATATTCATATTTTCTATGTTTTAATTAAATTTACAAATTGGACAACATACAAACAAAATACAGTTAAGTACCCTTTTAAATTAATCCGAGAACAACAATCGTCAACCACAAATCCTAGAAAATATTACATAGTAAAAGTTGTTAAATCATAAATGTATTACATTTCATATATTTCGTTTCGTATCATGTTTTCAATTACAAATTATGTTTATATTTACATTAAATAATGTTATCGTTTCATATCATTGTAATGATATAATTATCGAATATTGAACACTGTATATAGGTTATTTACAGATATATACATAAATAAATGTATATTATAACGTATAATTATATATTTCTATTTTCAAAAATTAATAAAATATTTGTAATACATTTATTTTTAAATATAAGAATTATTTCATTTAAATTACATAATGGCATTTCTATGTAAAAATGTCATTAAAGGCAGACTTACATTGAGGTTAGATTTGCGACGATTATATACGATTTACCGCAGATACTTTCTGCTCTATTACATGTTAAAATAACATATAAGAATACATTGAATGACATATAGATATAATTAGTCCTTTATAAAAATTGAAGATGGATTTTGGATAAATGAAGAACGTTTAAACATATTATTTCATTCTCAAAACATGATAATTTATTGATAGGGATTCAAATTTGAGTAGATCCGTAAATATAAACAAAGATAAGTAGAGAGATTGTCAGAGTACAGTCACGGACCTGGTTCTCATATATACTCCTCTGATTAATTGCATTCAGACAAATTCAAATTAAACATTTTTTTTCAATATATAGGAATATAGGTTGGGGAAAAAGAAGGATATGGAGAAAGAAAGGCAAAAAGAAATGTCTCGTCCATCAAAGAGTGCTGGATTAGAACCAGGTTCTGTCAGAGCCAAGACCTGGTAGAGGACACATCAGTAAAGCTACTTTTTTAAATACAATTGAAGTTACTATCAGCTTAATAAATATTTATTATGAAAATTGTATTTATTTTATAATAATAATAAAAAGCGGGCAAAACTTGTAACATGTCAATTTATTACAAACAAAGTCAATACATTAGTATGTACAACTACTCTGACACATTTAATATATATGTACATTATGTATAAATAATATGCACACACATTCATGACTCACATTCATATATATCATCAATACGAAAGCTCCTTCTTTTATTTGAATATGTAAATGTAAACAATGCTCTCATTTCTAAATGATTGATAAAAATAAAATACAAAGAAAATATGTATTACATTACATTTTAATTAAAGGATACATGCACAGCCTAAAACAAGAAGCAATTCAATGTATTCTATCACCATGGAAAATATTATATTTGCTATGTAATACCTGGTAATGTCCACTGAAACTAAATCCCCTTTAGAACTTTAAGTTATAAAGCTTTGGTCTAAATTCTCCATGTAAATATTTAGTTTCAGCTTTTACATAAAAATAACATCTCTTACAACAAACTGCATATTTTTTTTTAGTTGTAATAGATTTACACGTTATAATCTGATGTAATATAAAACTTGTAATATATGCAACATAACTTAATATCTAGCAACATTTCCTATATGTTTAGAATAGATCATATTTTAATAGTGAAGAATTAAAAGTTAAAATGAAAATTCTCATTTTATCAAAAAACATTACAAGATATATACTATTGTAATTTAATATAAAAAAGGTTGAATACTTTTAAATTAAAAAAACTTAATAAAATGTAGTCAATATAATTAATACAATTTATCTGCCTCATTATCCTGATATTGAGTTACCTGTAGGAATATTTCCAGCTGTAATGATTTATGTGAATTTTTACAACAGAAAATATTAAATACCGAATTATTTCAATAAGAATAGTAATTGAATCTTATTTGAATTGATATATTTATTATGAGAACTTTTGCTTTCTTTTTCAACAAATTAATCCTTAACTGTAAAACGTTAAAAACTAACCAATTCTAATATATCTGAGTAATTGATAAATAATTTCTAAAGGGGACTGAAAGTTATCCTATAATTGTAAAGAGGACTTCTTATAACTGTATGTTTATATTAAAGAATGATATCTACATGGAAAATGAATGCTTCATTAGAAGCATCGAAAATGATGGTCTTCTTTCATATATAATAAAAAATCTGAGTAAGCATGACATGCTCAGCAGTCACTCTCAACACTATCAACTATCATAATAATCAGTATTGCACTTAGTTAGAATTAGTGATAATGAGTTTGAGAAGCTTGAGAAATAGTCCTGTTGTGGTGTTTAAACTGGTGACGGGCGACATGGCCCCAGAAGTCTGTACTTCTTATTCAATTAAGAAAAGCTATTTTTTAGTAATACAGACGAAGTAAACAAGACATATAAAAGATAAGAAACAAAGAATAACTTAGTAGTAGAAAATTTTGATGAATGATAAATAAAAAGAATTTGAATTTAACAACAAAAAGAATATTTTTTTTATCAAATTCCAAAATTAAATGAATAGTAGAGTAACATCATAAATAAAATAGATATTTAGAAAAAACCTTAAACAAATGATATAATAAATGAAGAATGATTAAAAGATGGTTTATTTGTCAATGTCATCAAAATATGAAAATGAATAAATCAAAAACAAATCTCTCATTTTTAACAAAATTAAGAATAAGTATTTGAGATGAAATAAAATATTTGGAAGTATTCCAAAAGAAAATGACTAGTATGCTGGAAAGAACTGTTCAAAAACCTAGTTAAGATTAAATTTAGAATTAAAATTTGAATACTTGAAGATTTGTGAAATAACTGATAATAAAATTATTTGTAAAGTTGGGAATAGCAAATTACATATCAATCAACAACATAATAACGCATATGAAAATATTGAGTCAATTATAACAAAATATAGGAAAAAGCTAAAATAGTCATAAATGTTTCCAAAATTTCTCAGTTTTATCCCGTCACCAATGCTTTATTTTACTCTGCAACGAGTTCTATTTTTCAATGTTTTATGAATGTTATATTCAACAAAATACAAATCTCTTTAACATGCAAATATTGTATTCAAAAAGATGTTTGAATATAAATATTTTGAACCGATCAAATGCTCTGGCAGTTAAACGCTTTATTCGACGCTTTATATGACATAATATTTATGTCATTTATCTTAAACCTTAAATTATCAAATCATTTAATAATATAATCCATGGTGAAAGAATTATAAAATTTTATAACTTCTGTTAGAGTAAATATAATAAAATTCTTTGAATATTCTCTTGACTAAATAAAAATTGATATTTGTTAAGTTAAGTATTGTCATTTTAGCAATAAATTATTTCTCATAATAATTTTACTCCTAAAGTTGTGAAAACAATTATAAATCTAATAATTTCATTGCTTAAGTAGGCATAACATCCAAATTAGCAGACTCTGTGCTATATGCATTTTTTTAAACACAAGAGAAACACAAGAGTATTTGGTTTAACATTGGTATTTGTCAAAAAGTATCATCTATGATATGAAAGAATAGTTGTAACCCAAAGAAGCCGTTGCCAAATCCAACGTGGTATTCTGCAAGGTCCAAGACTAGCCATTGCACTGGCTATATGACGTAACCAGTCACGAATACCCCGTGGTGCATGGCCCCCATTGACATAGAGGACATACGTAAAACCATCTTTACATTTGCCATGAATTACATAATAATATGGTAAAAAACTATGTAATCGAAAGTGACATCTTTGATAAAACAATATAGCTGGTGCATTGCTGGATAATACATGCAGGAAGACTGCTTTTACGGAAGAGCGTTCTGGAGCAGTGACATGTGCTAATAATTGTTCCAATAATAATGATGCAATCCCATTTCTTCTATATGCACGACGGACACCTAAGCTAAGAATGTAACCCACTAAGCAATCATTTCCTAAGCTTGAACACAAAATACCACGATCTTCTGTGTTCAACTTAGCATAAGGCTTTATTTCTGCAACAATGAGTCCAATTATTACTCCACCATATACAGCTGCAAGTGCATAAAACCGTGAGGAACTTGTTATATCTTCATACCACGAATAAGGATAATCTATGACAAAATAAATTAATGCTTTAATATAAGTGACTTTTGATATTTTCTTTAATACAAGATGAATAATTTATAAAATTAACATATAATAACATGCATAGTTATATTAAATTTTTGATAATTTTTTGTTATTTCATAAAATAATTTATAACATATTTATTAATTAATCCTTTATGGCCTTATTCTAGTTCAAAGATATATGTGTATGTATAATATAACTTTTAACATTTTTAATTCATTTATAAATTATTATCATGCTTTAAAATACATATGTACTTCTTCTCTTTGACAAGTATATTGTTTTGTATTTTATTAAAAAGTGAATAAAATATGATAAAACATTTAAATTAATAAGGTATTATGTTCTCAAATGATAAAAAATATACATTATGAATAGATGTAAGAAGTTCTATTATTATTGTTCTATATTTACTTTTAAATTAATGTTAGCTGCTAATTATTATCATACTTGTATAGAAATAAAACTAATAAGGCTTGTTACTAAATAAAAATTGAACTAAAAGCAAATAGTTGCTTATCAAATTGATAAGTACTGATAAGATACAGTGGTAAAAGATAATAAAGATAAATATTATTAATTATATAAACTATTACTATTATATATAAGTTTTATATCCAGTTCCATATGAGTTTATGAATAAATAATATAAAATATGCAAACAGTCTCATATCTTATAATTCAAATAAAAGAAACTATTTGAAAAATTGTTTGATGTCATCATTATACATATAATAGTAATAATAGAATATGATATTATATATGTTACAGATACTTGCCAAAATCGTATATGGTAAAACAAATTAAACAAAAGCAAATTAAGCAAATAATTTCAGAATAAATTTGTTTAGAAGCAAAATATAACAAAAAGAGTATGTTTCTATAAATCCAAATTTATAAACAAAAGACTAGATAGATAAAGCACCATTTTAAATTTCTTTTATTTAATATTTATAATGTCTAATAAATTTATAACACTAATAAACTACAATTGCATTAAAAATAAATATTTTTAACCACATTAGATACATATATTATAAGTTAAAAAATAATATACTTTATTATTGGTATTATTTCCTTATTTAAAATAATTTGACATGATACTTATACTATAATTTAATAGATTTAATGAATAAACTAAAAATATAATGCAAAGCATTAAATCAAACACTTTATGCCAAAAGACTTATTCAACTAACATACAAAAGCCAAATAATGAATGATTAAGACCTCATTATTCTAAATACGAACCTCACTTACATCTGAACATAAAGATTATTATTTTTGAAAAAATAGATAATTAAGAAAACTATGAAATTCTCCTTTCTTAATGCCAGAATTAATGCCAAATCAATCTCTTTTTAAAGAGTAATCCTTGAAACATTTACATATTTGGTATAATACTTTGTTGGAACTGGAATGTTATGACAATTGAGTCAGCAGCCATGGATCAAAAATAATACAAAAATATTGTATTAACTAAGTTCGAAGAAACTAAACATAAAACCAGAAAGGATTAATTACATGTGAGAAACAAGTGTAAATTACTCTTTATATGAGGTGTTTATAAGATTTAATTTTAAAACTGATGGGAAACTTCGTACCAATGGGGAACCAATCTTGACAAAGTGCCCGTACTTCCTCCAAATCATCTGGACACAGGAAACGTAACTGGACATCACCCAGAACACACAAAGGTACAGTTGCCGGTATCACGGAAGTCTTTTGCTCATTAGATAAATTTCTTGTGGTACTTTCATCCGTGTATTTATGCTTGTTTTCTTGAGATATTTTGAAGTCACTTTTCTCGATTTCCGGTAAAATGAGATATCGATTAAAAGATACGGCCATCACGCCACAACTTTTCTACCATTTCATTAGTCATTTCTTGTACAATGTCAAGCATGTCACGTTGGATGTAATCGTTTGCTAGTAAACATATTGAAATCTGCCGACATTTTGTTTCCCTCTCTATAGCTCCCTATTGTCATCTCTTTCCTGCTCACTCGTTTACCTCTTTCTTTTCTCTCGAACCATCTGTCTTTTTCA